AGACATTAACAGGCCCGTCCAGTTTGATGGATTTGGATCAAATCTGAAAAGCTCACTTCAATGTGTTGCTTCTCTCCCCCCCATTCCCCTCTTTGCTTCTCTCTCTCTTCCCCTCTTCGGCTGTGTCACCCATCCCCCCCCCCTCCTCGCCTCCACCCCTCTCTCGGTCTCTTCAAGCTCCTCTCCACATTCTGTTTGAATTCAGACACACCAAATACGTTTGAGTCTCTTTCCTGAGTGGAGACGGGTGTGTGTGTGTGTGTGTTTGTGTGTGATTGCTATTTCTGTGTTTGTGTCAATCATTTTGATAGCTTTTCATCGTGTGTGTGTGTGTGTGTGTGTGTGTGTGTGTGTGTGTGTGTGTGTGTGTGTGTGTGTGTGTGTGTGATACAATGCAGAGAAGGCATAGGTGTGTGGGATTGATGAAACAGAAGGTTATGAAGCAGATCAATGTGTTTAATTGCTTCAGGCATGACAGCTGTCACATGAACATGCAATGCAGACACACAGAGACACACACTGTTTCTCGTTTCACACACACACCTTGTATTTGCACTCCTTGCTGATCTACCTTCTGCACACCAATTCACACCTCCCTACATGTGGCTGTGGCACACACACACACACACACACATACACACACACACACACACACACACACACACACACACACACACACACACACACACACACACACACACACACACACACACACACACACACGGTATCATCCTAAATGGTCCTAGGAGGATATGAGTGTCACAGTAGGGTCACATCTATCCATTCAGCAGTATTGATTGGAGCTGATACACAGAGTGGCCTCTAATGTTTCATTTGAAATGGACCATCACCTCAGTAGTCTCTGAAAAAAGGAAGAAGTAACTAAACCCATTTAATGATTTTGGTATGCTCTGTTAAAAGAGATGAAGTCACTGCATGGCTCAGAGTTGTCCTCCATGTTTCCATGTATGCTGTTATGAACTCAGGAGGCTTTCATCATTAGCTTTTGAGCTGTGGCTTTCTGGATTGAAAGTTTGACATGACGCTTCGATATAATCAACAGGTCCGAACTGTTGCATAGTAACAGGCAAGACTACCTGTTGTGTAGTTAGTACTTGACATCCTGCTGAGTTTTTTCTTATTCAAGCAATCTATCCAAAAAAAGAAGGTTTGATTTATAAGAGAATGAAAAGAAAAGGAATCTCAACAGGCACCCAAGAAGTCTGTCTAAGCTCAAGCCAACATTAGTTTTGCCATCTGTCATCTGAATGCTCACCTCTCTGCCTGGAACATTGTTAGTTTGAAGGGATCTAAGAACATGTCTTGGCACAATATAAAGGTGACTATTTGCATTGTGGAGATGAGTTATTATCAAAGTGTTAACTAAATCAAACCGACTCCCAGAAGACACTGATCTATTTTTAAATTGATTAAATAAGACAGAGCAGGATCAAATTCCAACATTATGAAGACTCAAAGGATGCCTGAAGATGGTACAATTTAAAAACATGTCCTTGTGTGACTTCAATATCTAAAATATGTATGAAATGGAGGCCATTGTCAGCTATGCATTTGTATTCTTCTGTTCATTTATATGTAGAATAACTTTTCTCGAAACAGAGGAGCTCTGCAATTTATCCACGTGATGTATTTATTTGCATTTGCTATAAAACGTATAAGAAAGAGTAGGAATAGTAGAACTTTAAAGCACCCGTGATCCCTTTATCATGTCTAGAACCAACGATATGACTACCGTTTGATCCGTTTGAGAGTCAAAGGGATAACTATCTATACAAAGTAGAGCTGCTCGATTATGGAAAAAATCATAATCTCGATTATTTGGGTCAATAATTGATATCACGATTATTAAAAACGATTATCCTTTTACTTTGAAAACATCAATTTTTTGAACATTATGTTTTTAACAGTTGATTTCCCTGAACTTTAAGTATAACTCAACTGAAAAACCCAAAAAAAAAAAAAAAAAAAAA